CAAGAAACTTGCAGAAATTTTAACTCTTTTAACAACAGATAGTCTTGGCGACACAAAGGACTTCAATCTTGGAAAACAGCCACTAGTTGAAGAACAATCTGAGACAGAATCTCAGGATGAAACAGACTTTCAGGAGATACCCATAACCTCCACCTCTCTAGTGGATTCTTTGGGTGTAATGAACCTGTCATTTCACGATGGATGTTCCCAAATTAATGATGATCATAGGATCAATCTAGTTAATAAAATTAATTTTTAAAAATAACATTCTAAAGTGAAAATCATCATTGATAATGATTTTGAATTAGAAACCATTGCCTTAATTGACACTGGTGCAGATGTAAACTGCATCCAAGAGGGCATTATTCCAACTAAGTATTATCAAAAAACCATTGAAAGACTTAGTTCAACAAATGGTAGTAATGAATGTTAAATACAAACTACCAAGTGAGCATATCTGTCAAGATAATGTATATTTTAAAACATCATTTATCTTAGTAAAAGATATGACTGATAAAGTTATTCTTGGCTTACCCTTTGTATACTTATTGTATCCATTTACAATAGATGCAAATAGTTTAGCCACGAAACCACTTGGTTAGGCAGTAACATTCCAATTTACAATCAAACCAGAAGTTAAAAAATTAAGACAACTTAAAGATCAATCAATCTCTAAGTATCTTAATCTTATTAATCAAAAAACTAAGCAAGTGAAATTTCTCAAAGAAGAAATTAATCACAAAAGAATTCAAGAACAGTTAACAAATCCAACTTTAATTGAAAAAATTAACCAGTTCAAAATAAAACTAGAAGAAGAAGTGTGTTCTAACCTTCCTATAGCCTTCTAACATAGAAAAAAATACATGGTAAAACTTCCTTATATTAAAGGATTTGATAAACAAAATATTCTTACTAAATCCAGACTCATCCAAATAAATCATAAAGTAATGAAAATCTGCAAAAAAGAGATTTTTGAATTGCTCAAAAATGGTATCATTCAGAAAAGTAAATCTCCTTGGTCCTGGCCAATTTTCTATGTCATCAAAAATGCAGAATTAAAAAGAGGCGTACCAAGACTAGTAATTAATTATAAGCTTTTAAATTCTGTGTTGGAATGGATCAGGTACCCAATTCCAAACAAACAGGATTTAATTAAAAGACTTAATAATTCAGTAATATTTTTCAAATTTGATTTGAAAAGTGGTTACTGACAAATCTAAATCTATCCAAAAGATAGATATAAAACTGCATTCACAACTCCTTTTGGTCATTATGAATGAAATATAATGCCTTTTAGATTGAAAAATGCACCTAGTGAATTTCAAAATATAATGAATGAAATTTTTAACTCCATTAGTCATTTTTCTATAGTCTATATATATGACATTCTCATCTTCTCCAGGTCTATAGAAGAACACTGGAAACACTTTTATGTTTTCCTTGAGATTGTCAAACACAATAGTCTTGTCATCTCAACTAGTAAAATCAAGTTGTTTCAAACCTCAGTAAGGTTCCTAGGATACAACATCCAACAATCCACTATTGTCCCCATCAGTCGTTCTATCCAATTTACAAATAGGTTCCCTGATGAGATCACTGATAAAATCCAATATCAGAGGTTCTTAGGTTCCCTAAACTATGTTTCTAACTTCTATCAGGATGTTAGAAAAACCGTTAAACCTCTGTATGACAGAATCAAAGGAAATCCTCCTCCTTGAAAATCTGTTCATACATCTATAATTCAGCAAGTCCAGCAATTCATTAAAACTTTGTCTTGCCTTGGTATTCTTTCGGTTGATTCCTTTAAAATCTTCCAAACTAATGCCTCCGACATTGGCTACGGTGATATCCTATTTCAAAAACTTACTCCAGACTCCCAAGAACAAATTGTTCGTTTCTATTCTGGTATCTAGAATAAGGCATAAGCAAATTATAGTACTATTAAAAAAGAAATTTTAGCTATTGTCCTGTGCATCTCAAAATTCCAGGATGATATACTAAACCAGAAATTTTTAGTAAGAATAGACTGCAAATCAGCAAAGTATGTTTTAGAAAAAGACGTACAAAACATTGCTAGTAAGTTGATTTTTGCCAGATAACAATCTATTTTGAGTATTTTCGATTTTAATATCGAATATATTAAAGGCAATAATAATTGTATTCTTGATTTTCTAACCCATGAATTTCTGCAGGAACCTCATGGTAGACAGGAAATATAATAACGCAGATACCTCTTCCAAAGCCAGGAAGGATACTGGAAAGAAAAAACTTTGTCAGATATTTGCCCAAGAAAAAGCAAACCTAGATAAACAGTTAGCCTTGTCAAGGCCACTAGTCTTGTCAAGCCTAAAACATTTATCCTATACTATTCAAATTACCAATAGGTTCCAACCCCTCGGTAATCCTAACCCAACAAGGCCAGTAGCCAAATCCACTATAGTGCCACCTAGCACTTTCCTTCAAATGCCCAGCAGGCCCCAAGACCTGTTGTACCAATCCAACCAGGCACCACTAGTTAATTAGCAAACCCATATTCCAGGCACAAACCCCAGTTTGTCCCTAAAGGCCTAACAGCTGACTACATCAAAGCTTATACCCAAAATATATTTGCTATTGAACCAGTCCATGCTCACTTAAGCAACCCAATGGACTTAGTCACAGCCTACCTTGAGCCAGGATGAACCTTTATTCCATCTGACCCTGAAAAGACCTTTCAGTTCTATTAGGACATCCTATTTTATACTCAGTCCATTTTTGTCAAGCTCATACTTGACAAAAATGACTCGAGTAGAATTATTTATCATTCACTACATATTTTAAAAATTATTTCTCTCAAAGATTGGGGATCTCACCCTTCTTTCCTCCAGGATCTACCCTATCATAAGAGAAAGTTTAATTACTATGATTATAAAGAATCATGGTTTAAACTTATACTCTACCAAAATGATTCTTTCGATCATTCTTGGTTCTTACAGTTTCATAAAGATTTCAAGAGTCAGATTTCATCCTGGTTCGCACAGTGGTGGTTTATTCATGACCCCATTCATGAAATCTTTTCAGCTGATCTTCAAGATCAGATTATAGCCTTCTTCTCTGTTTATCGGCCTAGTAAACATGAGAGTCAGTTTCCTATTTTACTAACATTTATTTACAGGTACAAAGTCCCATGGATATGCAAATGAAAATGAAAAATTATTGATTATAATATCGCTAGACAATTTTATGTCAAATGGTGGCCCAGGTTCTACCAAGAACCAATAGTTGACCGTGTCAAACAGGAGTTTTCAGTCAGGGTCCCAACCCCAGCAATGGTTCAGGCAACCCCATCAACTCTAGTCAGACAAGTCATGTCTCATCTCAGGATTTCTACTCCAGAAGAGCCCAAGAAATCTACTAAGAAAGAACCCAAGCAAGAGAAATCCTCCTCTAAGGATTCCAACAAATAATCCAAGAAGAAGACAGTTGTCATCATTGAGCTAGCACAATAGCTTCTTCAACAAGCAGCCAGTGAAAACAGTTCTTCTGCATCATCATAGGCGTCAGTCACCCCTACATTGGATCCCTTCCAAGACAGTCAGGATCCATATGCAGGATATGATGATCTGATAGATATATCTACCCCATAATGATACTTGTTTATATGTGTGATAGCTTCAATCACTACTTTCTTCAATAAAGAAAGAAAAACTGTCTATTGCATATATCGATGAGATATTATTTGGTACTCCGGATCTTTCCCCTATGCCACCAGTCATTTGTCAAAATCTGCTTTCCACCGAAAATAGATTATTTTCGACAACAAGAGGACTCACCTGCCATTTAAGACAACATTCACATGGGAAAAAACAATTCACCTCTACTTTCCCACGAAAAGGCTAAGGTGAAACCACTTTACCCAAATTAAAGTATCCATTGAAGACAACGGAGTAATCATTCCAAAGATTCCTTCAGAATTCTTTACGCCTATATAAGGAATTCAATCTTCACTCTAAGCAAGCTTTGAGCTTTTAGCAATTGTTTCGCAAAGCTTTGACACCAGAAAGCTCTCCTAAGCCTTCAATATACAAAGCTCACTATCCCCATACACTATCCCTATATTATAAGAAGCCTTCATAATGATGCAAATAAAGTGCCTCTCATTCCTATCTCATTACATCCATTAGCTCATTAGTGCTAGTGTTGTAAGTATTTTATTTTCTATAACTTGTATCTTGTTCTTATAAACAAGATTTTATAAAGAAAAATTATTTTACCATTCTTATATTTACAGCTTGTAATTCTTCTAAATCATGTCTGTTTTATTCCGCACTTGTTTATTAATTTGGTATCACTTTCTTCATCTCTTGAGTTATATATATATATATATGTGTGTGTGTGTGTGTATATATATATATATATATATATATATATATAAATAAGTATATATATTTGTATATACGTGTATATAAACAAGTATACATGTATTAACAAATACACATAAATCAAAGATGTATTAAATACGTATTTATATGTATTAATAAACACATATGACTCAAAGTATATTAAAGATAAGAAATTTTGAATTAAATGATCCTAAAATAAAATATTTATGTCTTTTTAACTCACATTTTGTTTTATGTATTTTTTACCAAATAAATTTAATTACGTGTACCGATTTTCAAATAATCCTATTTTAAGAGATGTTCGCCGTTGAATATAAAAAAAACGAACTTAAAAAAGGAAAAATAAGAAAGAGTAAAGCAAACACGTCAAGCACAATTGCAAAGTCCGGCACAACCTGTCGCCGGCCTTATTTAGATAGTACAACTCGAAGAAGTTTTGTTCTTTCTTGGTGACAAGCTCGGCCACTCTCAGTCTGAGTCTCTCTTCCGTGAGAAGGTCAGTATTAGCTCTCCCAAAGTACTACTGCGAATTTTATCAAATTCTAAATTTTCTGTAGATATAATTTATCATGATCGTCCTATTAGGTTAGAGTGAAAGTATATCTATATGGGTTTGGAGTCTTCTTCATGAACAAGCAGAAAACCAATTTCTATGGTATTTGGGAAAATCATGAATTTCATGCAATTTCGTAGGATTTCAACTTTATTGGATTCTGCGGCGAAGACCCCTAATTTTGGGAATTCAAATAGAAGGAATTGGAATCCAATTCCATTACCCCACGGAACCCTTCTTCAACCACAAGGTCAAGACCTTGATTTTGTGAATGTAGCTCACAGTCATCTTGTACACTCTGATTGGGCTAAGCTCCACAAGCTAGCATTAGGTCTTACACCCTTCAGAGTGAAGCACATATTGCTGAGGATCCAAAGAGACTATGTCCTTTCACTTGAATTCTTCAAATGGGTTGAACTCCAAAACCCCAGTTCCCACACCCTCGTCACCCATTCCATGATTATTCATATTCTCACTAAACACTGTAAATTCAAGTCTGCAGAATCCATTTTGAGGAAACTTCTTGAGTCGGGTTCAATTGATTTGCCTTGTAAGCTCTTTGAAGCTATTGTGTACTCATATCGAATGTGTGATTCATCGCCTCGAGTTTTCGACTCACTTTTTAAAACCTATGCACATATAAAAAAGTTCAGGAATGCCACAGACACTTTTTGTCGTATGAAAGATTATGGATTTTTGCCTATGGTTGAGTCGTGCAATGCATATATGAGTTCATTGAGTAGCTTAAATCGGGTAGATATTGCATTGGCATTTTATAGGGAAATGAGGCGGTCTCAGATTTCACCTAATGTTCATACTCTTAATATGGTTACTGGTGCTTATTGTAAGTTGGGGAAACTAGAAAAAGCTGTTGAGGTATTTGGGGAGATGAAGATTCTGGGTTTTAGCCCTACAGTTGCTACTTATAATATCTTGGTTGCTGGATACTGTAATCAGGGTCTTTTGAGCTCTGGTTTGAAGCTTAAAAGTATGATGGAGAAAAATGGAGTCTGCCCAAATCATATTACCTATAATACACTTATCCATGGATTCTGCAAGGCAGGGAAATTACATGAAGCTAACAAGCTTTTTAGCGAGATGAAAGGCATTGATGTGGCTCCGAATGTCATAACTTATAACACCTTGATCAATGGGTACAGCCAAGTTGGTAACACTGGGATGGGTGGTCGGCTTTTTGAGGAAATGTCAATGAATGGAGTTAAGGCTGATATCTTGACTTATAATGCCTTGATTTTGGGACTGTGCAAGGAAGGAAAAACCAAGAAAGCTGCATATCTGGTTAAGGAGCTTGATAAGGAGAACCTAGTCCCAAACTCCTCAACCTTTTCTGCCCTTATTAGCGGGCAGTGTGCAAGGAAGAATGCTGATCGTGCTTTTCAGCTATATAAAAGTATGATAAGTAGTGGATGTCATCCAAATGAATCGACTTTGAAGATGTTGATAACCACCTTCTGCAAAAATGAGGATTATTGTGGAGCACTAGATGTCTTGCGAGAGATGTTAGAAAGATCTATGGCTCCTGATTTAGGTATCTTATCTGAGCTTTGTGATGGACTTCGACAATCTGGAAAAGTGGAACTGGTAATGGGGCTATGCAACGATATAGAAGCTAGACACCTTATGCCAGAAGGCTTTGAAAAAGATAAAAGCATCAGCTCTCGACCTAATGTTGAAAATCAAGAAAATGTTGAAGTTTCAGCAGTACAACATTCATGTTTTGCTGAGCAGGAATTTCTTCCTTGATTACTTCAATTGAGGATCAGAGGATACTTGGCTGATTGTTCTATGACTCCGATTGTGTCCATCTGTTTGTTCTCAGAAGCCCAGAAATGAACTTCCTTTACTTTTGTTGCATTTGTTGGGTCAAATTCTTTGACACTTTAGCTTTGATCGGATATTGGTGCACAATNTGGATCTGATACAACTCAGTTTGCATTCTTGTTACGATAAGGTATCATTTCATTGTGATTTATGTGAGTCTCTAGTGTTCATCTGTTTGTTTTGATCATTTATGTGTTTTTTGTTTCAATTCTGTGCTGCTGCTTTATGCGCTGATATGCACACAGTTCACCTGTTTTCTCTTTTGGAGTTTTTTTTGTCATTTGTGCATCTCTGAATTTTATTTCTACTCAGAAGCCCAGAAATGAACTTCCTTTACTTTTGTTGCATTTGTTGGGTCAAATTCTTTGACACTTTAGCTTTGATCGGATATTGGTGCACAATGATGGGTCCAGAACTTCGCAAGGCACTCTGTTACTTATTTCAAGGCTCAAAAGTGAACACACACACACTCACTACATGTCTGAATTCAATTCCAATCCCAAAATTATATCCAAAATTCCAAAAATTATATCAATACAATTTCTTCTACTTGTTATAGCAATTTTTGCTGTTGTGATGAATTTTTGGGATGTATGGGATACCAATCAAGTGAAAGTCGTTTCTTCTCCGGACTGTCGCTCCAAAGGTCTCTGTCATGTAAAGTTCTGATGGTTTGATTCCATTGGGGAGTTTCCAGTCAAAGTNTGCTTCTACTTGTTATAGCAATTTTTGCTGTTGTGATGAATTTTTGGGATGTAAGGGTTACCAATCAAGTGAAAGTCGTTTCTTCTCCGGACTGTCGCTCCAAAGGCCTCTGTCATGTAAAGTTCTGATGGTTTGATTCCATTGGGGAGTTTCCAGTCAAAGTGGTATAATAGTTGAGCAAGTGGAAGTTCGATATTTGCAATTCCAAATGAAATGTCCAGACATATCCTTCTGCCAGCCCCAAATGGGATAAATTCAAAATTTGTCCCTTTAAAGTCAATAGAAGAATCATGAAACTTCTCTGGTTCAAAGCACTCCGCATCAGTCCAATGTTCTGGATCCCTCCCTATTGCCCACGTGTTGATGATTACTTTGGTTTTCATAGGCACCTCATAACCTTTAATTTCACATCTCTCTCTTGCTTCTCTTGGTAGTAACAAAGGAACTGGTGGGTTCAATCTCTGATTTTCTTTGATTACCAATTTCAAATAATTTAACTCTTGAATATCTGTCTCATCTATTGTTCTCTTTCCTNGCGTTGATGATTACTTTGGTTTTCATAGGCACCTCATAACCTTTAATTTCACATCTCTCTCTTGCTTCTCTTAGTAGTAACAAAGGAACTGGTGGGTTCAATCTCTGATTTTCTTTGATTTCCAATTTCAAATAATTTAACTCTTGAATATCTGTCTCATCTATTGTTCTCTTTCCTCCAAGGACCTGTCTCCCCTCAGCTTGTGCTTGCTCCATTACTCTTGGGTTTCTCATCATTTCTGACATTACCCATTCTAATGTTGTCGATGAAGTCTCAGTCCCCGCAGTAAAGATGCCCTGGATTAGAATGATAAAGATTGCATTTTAGTGTCCACAGACTAATCTGATGATAGATTGATTTTCTGAAGCTGAAATTATATTTTAAAGCATCTCATTGCTCTGATCCTGTTACTTTTTTTTTCTTACTGTGGAAGCTTGAATTTTCNTCAAGATTGCATTTTAGTGTCCACAGACTAATCTGATGATAGATTGATTTTCTGAAGCTGAAATTATATTTTAAAGCGTCTCATTGCTCTGATCCTGTTACTTTTTTTTTCTTACTGTGGAAGCTTGAATTTTCACACTGCATGATGAATCTTAGCAAACAGATTTTAATAGGTGCCTCTCCCTCTGCTGATTGTTGAAATAGCTCTTCAAACAAGTCGCAGAAAGGTCAGTATATCAGTATAACTAACCAGGATAAGATGTTAACTGGTTTTATGGTGCATGGAACTGTCGAGATAAAAAGGTCATGTTTATTTGGTTTTGGGAGNGCTCTTCAAACAAGTCGCAGAAAGGTCAGTATATCAGTATAACTAACCAGGATAAGATGTTAACTGGTTTATGGTGCATGGAACTGTCGAGATAAAAAGGTCATGTTTATTTGGTTTTGGGAGGATGAATATGTATTGAATATTTATGTTTCTTATGGATGAATGCAAGGGGAACAGCAAGCCTTCTGAAAATTGGCTTCCCAAAATAATGTAGCCATCATTTTGGAGGTTATAGGATTTGTATTGTCAAAAGTAACAGACATAGTGAAGTATTTTGGGCTTTATCTTAAGCCATTTCTTGGGTTTCATTTTCTGTTAACCTAATATGTCGTCATTTTCTTCAAAACAGTGAATATCTTCAAGACATACCAGAATGACGGCTTTGAGGTTGTTGGCTGTGATAGGAAACTCAAGGTCACCACTGTCCTGAACTCTCAGAAGCACATCAACTAGATCTTCCTGCTGGCTTGATTTGTCACTGTTGATAACCGTGGCTTTCTTTTTTGTTTTGTGCTCGTTGACAATATCGTCAAGAATCGTGTCGACTCTTTGGTGTATTCTTTCCAGTGCTGGCTTCACCGCACTGATTGAATGAAGAAACTTGAGTGAAGGGAAGATATCAGGGACGCCAAAACCTCCTGCCAATTTAATCGTCTCCCCCATCACTGTAATGAATTCATCTTGGTCTTTGCACTTCTTACCAAATGTTGCCCTGGAAGTTATGGTACTTGTCAATGAGAAGATCTTCTTACTGAAATTGATGGGAACTCCTGGGGATGACGATATGGATTCAATGAGATTCCGTACCTCCTCCTCTCTGATTGATTTATATGATTGAACGCGCTTTGCACTTAAGAGCTCCAATATGAAAATTTTTCGCAGTTGCCTCCAGTAACCACCATAGGGAGCGAAGCCTATGTTCATACAATTGTAAGTGACGATCTTGATTGCGAGAAGTTCTGGCCTGTTTGCAAAGGTAGGTTTTCATCACTTCTTTGGCTGCGTCTGGCAAGGAAATGACAACAGCAGAAACCTCACCAAGTTGTAGGTACATAATGGGCCCATATTTCTTGGCCAAGTGTCTTAAGATATGGTGGGGTAGAGACCCGATTAACTGGTGCAAGTTACCAATTAGTGGCAGCTTTCATGGCCCTGGTGGCAATGCCTTGGGACCTTGAGCCTCATATCCCTTCCTACGCTTCGCCACCACGAGGAGAAAGAGAGAGAAAGCAAAGAAGAGAGGAAAGGAGGCTAGTTGAAGCTCAATTTGGCAAAGGTAAGAGACTAAAGCTAGTTTTGGTGCTCCTTCTATGAGGTTATGACTCTATTTATAGCAATGTTGTGTGAGAAATCAAGTTCGGCCTAGTTTTTTTTTTGTGTTACTCATTTTTCATATAATGTAGAAGTATATAGTTTTCCTATGTTAACTTGTCTAAACATGAGATGTGAAGATTGTCATATTGGGTAGGGGGTTCCATATGGGGTTATAAGGACTTGGGCAATTATCCGTCTACTTGTTTAAACTTTGGCGCTATAAAATGGTAACAAATGATATCAGAACGGGACTTAATGAATCACAACCTTATTAAAACCTCATGCTAGGTGATGGTAACTAACCCTAAATCTTGATAAGAAACAATCAAGATATGAAAATAATGGTTATGTTCTTTGACTCCACAAGGTTTGTTACGTGCATATTTTTTATATTTTTGTATCTTGGAAAAATTTCAGTCATACGTCTTCTAGTTTACCATATTTTCAAGGATACCACATCTATTATCAAACACATCACTAACATCTTTTCTATTTCATATTTAAATATTACTGACACTCCTTGCCTATAANTCAGTCATACGTCTTCTAGTTTACCATATTTTCAAGGATACCACATCTATTATCAAACACATCACTAACATCTTTTCTATTTCATATTTAAATATTACTGACACTCCTTGCCTATAAACTATCATTTATAACAAAAATAAATTATTTAAAANGACTCTATTTATAGCAATGTTGTGTGAGAAATCAAGTTCGGCCTAGTTTTTTTTTTTGTGTTACTCATTTTTCATATAATGTAGAAGTATATAGTTTCCCTATGTTAACTTGTCTAACCATGAGATGTGAAGATTATCATATTGGGTAGGGGGTTCCATATGGGGTTATAAGGACTTGGGCAATTCTCCGTCTACTTGTTTAAACTTTGGCGCTATAAAATCGTAACAAATGATATCAGAACGGGACTTAATGAATCACAACCTTATTAAAACCTCATGCTAGGTGATGGTAACTAACCCTAAATCTTGATAAGAAACAATCAAGATATGAAAATAATGGTTATGTTCTTTGACTCCACAAGGTTTGTTACGTGCATATTTTTTATATTTTTGTATCTTGGAAAAATTTTAGTCATACGTCTTCTAGTTTACCATATTTTCAAAGACACCACATCTATTATCAAAAACATCACTAACTATCTTTTCTATTTCATATTTAAATATCACTGACACTCCTTGCCTATAAACTATCATTTATAACAAAAATAAATTATTTAAAATATCAAAATTGTCCCTATATAAACACCAAACAATCTTTCTACATATAATTTGAGCCGATTAAAATTTATTTTTTTACATATTAAAATTTGAGCTGGTTAAATTTTTTTTTTTATGTATTAAAATTTGAGTTAATTTGAGCTCTACTTGTACTGTTAGTCCTGATTAAAATTTATCTTCGAGTCGATTAAAATTTATATTATTTTATTTATTAAAATTCGATTTAAGTTGATTAAAATTTATTTTTTACGTATTAAAATTTAAGTCAATTAAAATTTATATTTTGATGTATCAAAATTCGGGCCAATTAAAATTTAATGCGAGTTGATTAAAATTTGATTTGAGTCTCAAATAAAATTTTAATCAGTTTAAATTTTAATACGTAAAAAAATATAATTTTAAATTGACTCAAATATTAATATATAAAGAATAAATTTTAACTATCTCAAATCGGTTTTAATAAAAAAATTAGAAAATAGAGGGAGTCTCATTGGAGATATGTCTATCTAGAAGGGGTATAGACGAAGTTTTTTCTAAAATATATCATGAGTAATTTAATAAAATTATATTCTAATCATAGTTATCAAAAGCGTTTCATTCACGATTTGATTTGATTCGTACGATTCGATATAGGTACAAAATTATTCGTATATTATATAAAAATCGTTTTAGAGTTGAAGTGCACCTGAATCGTATGATTTACACGATTCGATTCATATCACATGCATCGCATAATTCAATAACCTTTTTTTAAAATCCAAGTTTTTTAGAAAACAAAGTCGTTTTGTCTGCTAAACAGTAAAACGACGTCGTTTGTTTGCGGGGGAACCAACACCGTAATAAAAACTCAACCTATTTGAGTGTTCACTCTCTGACGTCGTCTAAAACTAAAGGTCATGACTAACACTCTGGCATAATTGGTTGATTTTTGTTTTCAATTCTTTCATGGGTAGATTGTCAGGTTTTAATTTTTTGTTTCAAAATGTTGGTTTATATGTTTTCTCCTATTTAATTTTCTTATTTGTTCTTTTTTCATTCATGTTTGTATCATAATTGATACTAGGTGTTACTATTTTAGTTTTTGAATAACCATGTTTTTTTAATAAATTTTTTTTTCAAATTGTTAAATTTGAATATGGTTAAGCAAAAGATGAAAATTAAGTAAACAGTTACTGTCTTTCTATTTAGACGCCGTGATTATATCAATTTATTAGTTTTAAAATGCAATAATGTTCAATATTTAATATTTTATCTATTTTAAATATGTAGTATTATTTTTTATTATTGTTCAAATTTTGTATCGAATCTTACAATTCATGATTCTCAAATTTAGGATTCCGATTCATGATACGAATTGCGATTTGACAACTATGATTCTTATTAACACTTTTAATTTGACCGGTGTGTTAGTGAAGATTCAAAAAATAGAGGGAGTGTCCTTGAAGACATGATAATTTAGAAAAGGTGTGACTGAAATTTTTCCTTGTATGTTAGTAATATGAATTTGAATTGGTCAATGGGTTAGTAGTATAGTATTAATAGGTTTCTAGGTGGTTATGTAGGTGGTGGGGTCATGGGGTTTAGTAGTTATCTTGTAGTTGTTATTTTATTGTATTTAAAGAGCTTAAGAGTAATGGAAAAAGTAACAAATATTTATGATAAATCTTTTTATGAAAGGATTAGGAGGTCAGGTTTCCCTCGAAGTGAACCACTGAAAGTTTTTATCCCTCGAAGCGAGTCTCTTTTTTCTCTAATTTTATTTTTCTTTTATTTTTTAAATTCCTTAAAATCGTGCACGCAATAATGTTCCATAATCACCTTGCAAATAGACTATTATTCTTAAAAGTGCGGTTAAAGCTGCCAGTAAGAGTGCAATGCACCCCATATTCTTCTGGATTAATTACAAGAAAACTCCCTATACTTAATAATGGTTACAGATCACTCTCTTATATTTTGGACTTTAGCACTAAATCTTCCTCAACTTAAAATTGAAGTACAAAAGTGATGATTTCTATCTGTTCTAAGAACGTGTGACTTACACCCATTTATAATCCTGCAATTTTTTATGTAGCCTCTATAAATAGCAATTGGTTGGTCAAGCAAAAGTCCTTGGAATGAGCTCAATTGGTGTGTCTTCAACATATATTGGGCTACTTCTCGAGATGAAAATGATTAGATCATGAATCTCACGTAATTATTTTTCGTAAACAAAGTAATTTAATTGAACTAAAAAAAAGATATTACAATGTAGCTCAACTCTCCAAAACAAGTACATGAGATACCGTACACCCTACTTGAAGGTGCATAAGGGGTTCCATAGTTCTTGGCTCTCAAAGCATGTTGTGGTAACTAATGAACCATTTAATTGGTATAGTAAATTGTCAAAGGGAGATTGCTTTCATACCCATGGCGGCAACTTTGGGTTTAGACCTCTTCAAAACTAATGACTGGGAGAAGAGGATGAAAGACAGAGAAGTGGACCACTAGAGACATTGAATATATAATAGAAACTTATGTGATAGAATGTCTGATGGATTTTCAATACAGAAGTTGATGTCTTTGGTACTATCCTTTTATAGTTGGCTTTGGTGGTCCTTGTGGAAACTATAGGGCTAGATTTCATATGCTCGGCTTATAGAAATTATATATGCTCTTTAATTTAAATATTAAACAAATAGGGTGAGATTCAAATTTATTGAAGTTCCAAACTTGGTGAAAACTCTAAAATTTGGTTCCAAACTTTTCTATAGTGTTAATGTGAACTTTTAAGCCCCTTTATTAACTTGGAGAGCGGGTCAAGAAAATGATTTGAATATTGATTTTTTTCATGTAAATTAGCAAGATTTGAACCTTTTGAACACAAAGGCTAAAGCTATCGCCGGCGTCTTCTACTCTACACACTTAAAGAAAAACAAATCAAACACAAAGGCCAAAGTTGTCGCCGACATCTTGTAGGTCTTGCTTGTTTATTGGGTTTGCAGGTAATGGCCTAGTCATACCCATATTTGTTTACAGATTTAAGGCCTGGGATTCAAATCTCGGCCAGTGGTGAACAGTGTCTGACAGACCCATATATATGGGTTTTACCAAACTCATAGGACATGTTTGGATAGTTTTGGGTGGGGGTATTGGATTGGTTTTATCAAACTCTTCCGAACCCAAATCCCACCTTTGTGTACATGGGATTCATAAATGAATCCTATCCATACCCTTGTTTGGTAAGTAACATATACACGTGGAACTCATGAATTAATCACAATTATAACAAAGCATTTGTCATATACTTGACTAAATTGTCCATTGACCATGGAAATGGGATATTTTATTAGAGATAGAGGGTCATTTGACATAGTTAACCTAGGCTAGCATATATGAAACCCACTCCTCTTGGGTTTGCCCAACCCCATTTGAATTTCGGGTTTAAAAATCCTAAACATGAGATTAAGAGATCTATCGAACTATTTTACTTAAACCCACCTTTCCAAACTCGCCCAAACCCATCCAACAAACATGCCTTGGGGGTTGGGTTTCATATCTACCAATCCAAGATAAATAGGTGAATTGAACATTGTATCCCTAATAATTTATTCTCTCTACACATATCACATCCCAACCTCCAATCACTTCCCACTTTTGATTTAAACATACATGAGTATGAATTGGATTGACTAATGAACAATTTAGTCAATTCTATGATAATTTTTAATTATAATTGTTATTAATCCATAAGTCCCACGTATATTTATACTACTTACTAAACAAAAGTATGAAAAAGATTTGGGTACTAATCCTATGTACAAAATAGAGGTCAAGTTTGGGAAGGGTTTGAACCAATCCTCCCTTGAAAAACCATCCAAACATGCCCCTAGTGGCTAGCTCGAACATTTCTGGTTTGTGCTAGATGGACACACACACACACACATGAGGCATGTAGCTCACAGTCATCTTGTATGTGCCTTACACACCCTCGTAACCCATTCCATGATTCTTCATATTTTCACCAAAATCCTGATCACAAAAAAAAAAAAAACAAAAACAATCTCACTAGACACCATAAATCAACAAAATCCATTTTGAGGAAATTTTTTGCTTTGGGGTGGATTAATTTACCTTGTAAGCTCTTTGAAGCCATAGTTTTACTCATATGGAATGTGTGATTCATCGCCTTGAGTTTTCGACTCACTTTTTAAAACTTATGCACATTTGAAGAAGTTTAGGTACCCACATACACTTTTTTTCATATGAAGAATTATGGGTTTTTGCCTACGATTGACCCGTGCAATGCGTATTTAAGTTCATTGATTAGCTTAAATCGGGTAGATATTGCATTGGCATTTTATAGGGAAGGTCTCGGATTTCGCCTAATGTTTATGCTCTTAATATGGTTGCCAGTGCATATTGTAAATTGGGGAAACTACAAAAGGCTGTTGAGGTGTTTAGGGTGATGGAGATTCTGGATTTTTGCCCTACAGTGGCATCATGTAATATCTTGGTTCCTGGACACTCTAACCAAGGTCTTTTGAGCTCTAGTTCGAAACATAAAATGATAAATGGAGAAGAATGCATTCTGCCCAAATCATGTTACAGTAGGCAAAGAAGCTTTCTATTGAGATGAAAGGCATGGATGTGGTTCCTAATGCATACCCTGATCAATTGGCATAGCCAAGTAGGTAATAGTGGGAATTTTTCAACGTTCAGAAGTGGACCCACCACTGCACTCATTAGATAATTTAAATTCATTTATGATCCAAAAACTACATCCATACACTCCAAACTGTATTTTTGAAGTTGGTAAATGTTTGTTTATTTCATTTCAACTTTTTTGTTTTGTTTTTTTTTTTTT